TTCGCTTTTGTCTTTAACTACTTTTGGAACGTTCTGAGAGTTACTTAAAAGTTCTGGAAGTTTCTTGAACGTGTTTGAGTGTTTAGGAGAATTGTAGAAATATCATAGTTAATAGACTTAAACTGGTTTGGAAACACAGAACTTTGCGTAACAAAAACTATGTTGAGTTGAAAATGCAATCACGTGACATTGACCGTTGACGCGACTTGAAAATTATGCTGAATCTATTTTAGAAGATGAGTATTTTTTAAAGTTTTAAAAATTGCACAAATCTAATAAACACTTATCAACAATATAGCTGCTGAGAATGCCAACAATTTTAAATTAAACTTTAACATCGAGATTTTGTTTTCACTAATAAAAAATGTGTTTTGCAAGATTATGGGAGGTTCTTTTTATGGAAATTAAATTATTGAGCAATTTAAAACTCTTCTTAAAATATGATCTAAAAGTTTAAACGAGTTATTTTTTTAGTTATTTATAAGTTAAAGTTAGTTATTTTGGGAATGTAGTAATTCACAATAAGAAAATTTTAAATTGTGGTGATGAATTTGAAGATTCTGCTACATTATTATTAAGCAAACTTGCAGATAGTATATCAGCTTATTATAAAAACAATATATCTATTGTTAATAATGATCTGACATTAAATACACGTGCAATATGTGATAGGGAAAAGTATGGATTGCAAAACTTGGAGGTTATGTTATTCATAAAATTTAAAACAAAATTCAAAATTCTTGAACTAATAATACTCAATTACGAAAAACATTGTCTATATTAAAAAGCTGTTAAAATGAAACAAAAAATATAATTGACCAAAAGCTTGTCAACAGTCTTAATCGTGGTGAACTTACTGCCAGTTTGAACAAACTTTTTATATTTAAGTCAAAAAAGACTAATGTGTTATTTGCTCCTTTATTTTCTTTTTTTTTTTTATTGTTGTACACTTATTTTAATATAATGTACAATATATATATATATATATATATATATATATATATATATATATATATATATATATATATATATATATATATATATATATATATATATATATATATATACATATATATGCACATTTTTGTTTCAAATATCCAAGTTATACATTTTATATATGTTGATTTTTAAAAGTTTTGAAAATTAAGATCAGTTATAAAATCATTTTTTCATTTTTTTTTTTTTTTTTAATTATTAAATCTTCAGAGATGTTTATCCAAGCTTGATTATTGTCATATGAATCTCTAGTATTTCCAGTGTTAAACGAAACATTTTGTTAAATGCATATTGCATTAACATTATAGCAAAACTGTTTAGCATCAGGATTATCTGAATAGCGCCCAATTTTTCTTTGAGCACTAAAGTATTCCTCAATTGAGTCTTGGCAAAATCTACTTGTAAGTATGTAACATAATATGGCATACCCTCACTTAGCAGAAACTTTATAACCGTGTTATATATTATCACATCTCAATATATATATATATATATATATATATATATATATATATATATATATATATATATATATATATATATATATATATATATATATATATATACAGTATTGGACAAAACATTTGCAACCAACATCGAACAATGCTAAAAAGTGTTCCTAATTTTACATGTCTTAAAAACGAAACAAACTATACTATCACAGCAAATAGTTCAGGAGTCTCGAGTCATAGCATGCCACCACATGAGCAATCAGCTGACAGGTGACAACACAAAGGCAGAATTTCGTTGACAAGTGCCATTTTTCAGCGGACAAAACAAGTGCAACTTTTTTTGTTTAATTTATTTTCTTAAGTCTGGTCCGTGTCAACGTCACGGAAGTTTTTTAATAATTAAAGGAAGTATACAGAAGTTTCCAGAAGCTTCCAGAAGTTTCCAAAAGAAGCATCTGGAAGCATCCATAAGTATTCAGTCTTGTCTTGGAACTAAGGAGGAAAATTATTGGCGATTATGTAATTGGAATGTCACAAAAAAGTATTTCTGATAAATATCGCGTGAAAAAATGGACCGTATCAAGACTATGCTCCAAACATCGTTCTACGGGGAAGTTGGCAGCAGATAACAAAGGCGGAAGACCGCGTTCCACCACTTCTAGAGAAGATTCTATGATCTTCAGATCCGTCAAGAAGGTTTCCTGGATATCATCAGTTGAGATACAAAAGCAGTTAGAGTTGCCTGTATCGGACTGAACAATCAGACGACGTGCTGTTGAAGCCGGATTGTTTTCTCAACGCCCTGCAAAGAAACCACTGATTTCACTAAAGAACCAAAAAAAAATACTCCTGTTTGCTACATCTCATATTGACTGGAATGTGCAGAAATGGTGAACTGTCCTGTTCAGTGATGAACCAAAGTTCAACATCATTGGGAGCGATGACATTTGCCGTGTACGTCGACCGGCCGGAAAACACCTCGATTTGCGTTACTGCAATAAGACCGTGAAGCATGGTGGAGGCAATGTAAATGGTCTGGGGGCGTTTTTCTGCTAACGGTCTAGGTCGAATACATCGAATCGATGGAATAATGGACCGTTTCATGTATAAAAATATCCTGAAAAATGTTATGTTACCTCATGCTGAATGGAATATGCCAATAAAATTGCAGTGTGTTTCGCATCGTTATCTTTTTCAGCAAGTCAACGATGCGAAACACTGCAAAAGTAGTCAAGCAGTGGTTTTAAGACAACCACCTTTCAGTGATGGATTGGCTGCCTCAATCTCTGGATCTCAACCCTATTGAGAACCTGTGGGATTTCGTCAACCGCAGAATTAATCGTGAAGGTGTTCGTAATAAGGATCAACTGTTTGAACAAATCCATAAGGCCTGAGATGCGATTCCACAAAGTTTCATAGATCACCTGATCGAATCTATGCCTCGAAAATACAATGCTGTGATCGACAACAAAGGATTCGCTACAAAATATTGATAGCGAAGTACAGCTTAGTCAACATTTTGTGGAGTTGCACTTGTTTTGTCCAGAAGGAAATTAACTTTTTTTAATACTTTTGATTAATTTATTAATTTTCGTGTACAAATAATGAACTTTGTGATGAATAAAACTTGAACAACGTTGTCTCTAAACAGTTACATAGTTATTTCTCTAAATTGAAAAAATGCAGCACTTTTATATAAATTAGCATTATTTGGTTACACTTGTATTGTCCTATACTCTCTCTATATATATATATTTACAATATCTAAACTACTTATAAACCAATATAGTTGCACAAGATCACCTCTTGATTATCTATTTGCTAACATTGGGAAATTATATAGTAATATTACATGCACTACTACACTATAGTAATGCATAGTAACATAAGAGTTTGTGATATAACGCAGCGAAGTCATTAAATATGTTTTAATAATTATTACATTCTATATATTATCTGTAGCGATTGTTTATAACTTTTTTTTATCATCTAGCTTAAAGTGCTTTTCACAAGCAAAGACTTTTTCTGAGTTGATTTGCTTTGTAACATATATAAAATACTCTATAAAAAATATATACAAAACTGTGAAAGCTGATAAAGCCTTGAGTCTACTGTTGCTAGACTCTAAACAAGTAATATTTTAAATGCTTTAAAAATATTTTACAGTATTTATAAATATTTAGTAAATAAAAGAAAGCATCTTGTGTTTGTAGAATATAATGAACTAAAATAGTACTTTTCCTTTCGTAAATATTTGTAAATCACCCGTTTAAATATCATATGACTTAAAGTACATCTACAGACTATGAACGAGTTTACAAAACAGTATTCAGTTATTTAATTTGCTCATTAACCTTAACGAGTAAACTAAATGAATTTTTAATTTATACTCTAATAATGCAGAAAACGTGTTGGTTTCTTGCTTACGATCCGTAATAAATTAAAGATTTTATTATCTCTAACAATGCTTTCTTTAAAAAATAGTTTAGAATCTATACTAACAGTATTACTTCATTTTCATTTTCAAGAGTTTATTTAATAAACTTTATTCTAAAATCACAAAATGTTACAAGCGTTATACAACGTTAATAAGCTTGTGTGCACGGTCACGCTTGATTTACGCTCTATTTTTATGTCAATAAGTTAAACAATGAGTTTCCAAACCATTTAAAGTCTATTAACTATGGAAATATCTAGACAACTCTAGCAACAGTTCAGTAATATTATAGCGCTCGGCCTCCGAAGATAAATTTTTGATAAATTCATTATTTAAATAACTTCTTTAGTAATAAGTTAGTGTCGCGATGCAGGTTACCATTATAATATTTTAGCCGTAGTCAAGTGTAAATCAACTTATGGTTTATGTTTCAGGCTAGGCACTCTTTAAATCAATAGAAAAGATTTTCTAAATTTACTTAAACATAAACTTGAAAAAAAAGTTGCATCACTAAACTGATTCCCACCTTTCCTGTAACAAATCGTCACTAAATCGCTAATCCCCCTCCCCGCGTGACGTAATTTGTGGACGACCCCATACTAAGTTAAGCAGTATAGATGTAAAAAAACAACAACAAAAAAACACACCTATCGTTAAATAGCGATGTTACGTCCATACACGTAATTTGTGGGCGACCCCATACAAAGTTAAGCAGGATAGATAAAAAAAAACAAACACACCAATCGTTAAATAGCGGTGTTACTTTTTTTATCAGCCGTTTTTATTAAGAAATCGTAATAAACCTGACGTACTTTTAAAACAGTTTTATAAATAAAATCTCAATGAACAATTATTTTTGCGCCAGAATAGTTTGTCTAATTCTTGTAATAGCAACTTCTTTGAATTTGTTATAAAATTGCCGAAAAGTTGCACTCAACCTAATTAAGATTTAAACCAAGTTTATTTTCGCGTGATAATTAAGATTTAAACCAAGTTATATATTTTCGCGTGATAATTAAGTAAAGCCAAGCAAAAAGTTAGCAAACGTTACTATTTAGCACAATCTGTGAAATTATAAAACGTGAACACCATAGGTTTAAAAAAAACCCAGGGAGAAAGCGGGAAAAATATTTTAAATTTTATTTATAAGACGAACAACCTGCTTTTAATAATTTCATTTCACAGCATCATCTTCAGATATAAGTTCTTCAGAAGCCAGTACAGTTTGTGAAATATTAAGTGAGTTTGAAGTTCCAATTGCTGTGCGAATATTCTCTAAAGGAATTTCAATAGTCTTACCATCTATAATTGTAGTTAGACAGCTTGTTTCAATTGAAGGTGGACCGATTCCCTGTAAATCAAAATCTCCATCTTCTTCTTTCACACAATTGTCTTCCTTACTTAATTTTGCAGGACATTCGTCATGTGAATCAGAAATCGATCGCTTTTGAGAAACAATTTTAACAGTTTCATTTTTAGCAGATTGGCGAATATTTTTAAATACAGTTGCAACACCGATAGCATTAACCTTATCAACTTCTTGGTGCCGTTGTGGGTAAGTTTTCCTCGTTTGCAAGGGTCTAACATGCGATTGAGCATCTTCTTTGGTAATAGATAAATCATGATTTAAAGCAATAGAGGGTGCAGAAGCATTTTTCCTTGGCCGACCAAGACTTTTTAACTGTACTGAACTATTTTCTATAGAACCTGAATTAACTATAGGTTGTTTATCTTTATTAGCTGCATTTGAAAATATCGCAATAAGTTCTTTTAATTCTGTTTTTAACCGATAAAGATTTTCACGACTATGGTGGGCAAGCTGAAGTTTAGAAAGTTGCTGTAACAAACCACGACATTGAGAAGCGAGAACCTGAGGAGTTTCATGGCTGGTACGTTTATCTGTTACACCAAAAAACAGATTATGCTCGCCCCCAACCATATCTTTTACAGGTGATGTTTGTGTAGAATTATCAACAAAAAGTCCAGGCATATCAATATTAATATTAGTTTCACACCCCCAGTCAATATTAAGTTGCGGCAGGAACTTGTAAAGATTACTCATCATATCCCAATTCCAACCAGGAAAATTATTATAAATAGCGCAGAAATGTTCACACGGTAGTTTAAATCTCAACCAATCTTCACAATCGCAAGATGGAAAACTAAAAAAATAAAATGAACCGATTTTAAAAATGACTAAAGTTACCATCAGTTTCAAATGGTTATGGGTATGTAATTTTGCTATCATGGTTATTAAATTGTTAGATCAGATCTGCATATTAATGAAAATAATAACAATAATACTATTAGCAACTTACGGCTTTTTTAAACTTAGATTTATCTACATAAGAGTAAAGGTAATTACTATGGAAAAAATTTCTTGCTTCTTTGTTCTTTTTTATTCACCTATCAATCTTTTAACTTACAACATCGCATAGTTAACTACTAGTATCTTAGAGTTAATATTATAGTGGAGTGAAAGAGCTCTTTACATGGTTGTTTCTTATTTCTATGTATTAGGGTTCCAACTCTTAAAGTTGAAAATAAGTGTTTTCATAAAAAACTTGTAATTAAATAAAATATTAACAGCTGCAATATACTCCTAGCCTTAATTGTGGTGTCCTTCCAACCTTGATTCTAGTGACCTTGGAGTGTTGAATTTTATGATAAAATTTAATAATTTTATAATTAAAAAAAACAACAGATTAAAGTATACCAGTTTGCATCTCCAAAAGATACAGTATGTAAATGATCTTCTTCATTGGTATCACCTTGTACAGTAAAAATTCCTGAATGCATGCATCTAATTGTAAAACTTTGTTCATTAGCCTTCTTTAAACGTTCGTAGATGTGGTAAGTAATAAGGCCAGGACGAGCACAAAGATAATTGGGTATATTACTGTAAGCATAACGCAAATCATTGTGTAGTTTAATAGATTCTTTATTCAGATCATAATACCTGCAATTTAAATTTTTAACAGAAATTTCAAGTTAAATTAATTCATTAAATCTGTTAAATTTGATATAATGAGTAAGCTCACACATAAACATATCTAGAATATGTAAAAATTGGATGTAAAGAGTAAGATCACACATAAGCATATTTAAAAATTTAAACTACATGTTTTGTTACAATGATTCTTATAACCAATTGTCATAGTATGTATATTATAGGGCAAAATAACTTTCTATTAAATTATTAAAAAAAAAATTAAATAACTAAAAATAAAAGAAACTAATTTTAAATAACTTTTTAAGTAAAAAAAAGAACGATTCAATACTTAAAAGAAAAATTCAACTATATCAAATAGAAAAAATTTAAATATGAATGGAAAAATCTTACTGTTTACAAGCTACTGGCACAACATGCTCAACTAGTTGTTGTATCACATCTTGCAATGGTGTAGTTTTGTTGACCAACTTTATACTTCTGAATACTTTTAACTCATCTTCTAATGTTCGATTATTGTGACATGTCATTAAATAATCATCAGGACGATATCCAGAAACCCAACGCTAAACCAGTTAAAACAAACTATAATAGTATATGTACATTCTTGAACAACATCAACAACAAGAAATAGTTCTAAATTTACCTTTGCATGGGCAAGCCAATTGAACTGGAACCAGTTCCGAAGTTTATCAGAAGTTTTCCATACTTCACTTTCTTCAAGTTCACGAGCAGCAGCATTTAATGTATCTTCTGAAAAAGACTGTGCAATTGCTTTTAAATGCATCAGCATTTCATCTTGGTGTTCTGAAACACCATTTTGATCATCACTCAGCCAATCCTTCCATGCCTTTTCTCGTGAAGAGTCAGAAATCAATATAAAAGAGCCTTAAAATAATAGAAAAAATATCTGAAATAAACACCAACTGACAAAATTGAAAACACATTTTCTTTGGCTTTACTTTGACTTTGTTTTTTGCTATATTTTTATTAATATGTGAAATTTTCAAACTGTTGCATCTAACTTTTTTCTACATTCCTTAGTGATAAAAATAATTGTTTTCAATTTTTTTGTTTTTTAATGTTTTTGAATTTGAATTAGTGCTGGATGTATAAACCTGATTTTTTTAAATTACCCATTAGATACCAAATTATTCTCTGTTCATCATTAATGCATATTTTTACTTCATCAAAATGTATCATTTTGAACAATATAATCGTGTTGAATATCAAGGGGAAATCCCGCATTTTTAGTGTTTTAGATAGCTAACTTTCAGACACGGAGCAAACTTCAAACATTGATGCTTATACTTATGACAATCAAGGAAGCTTTGGAAAAAATAAAAAAAGAAGCGCTAATTAGAGCTAAGGAACAAAAAAGCCTGAAAATTTTTGCCCCCATTCCCCAAAATGCGAGAGCAATAAGTTGATAAAATATTCTTTTACTATTCTTAACTAAATTTATAACCTCTTAACATTCTTAACAATCTTTAACATATTTGGGGTTTGTTCCATGCCTGAAAGTTTTCTCAAACATCAAAAAATGTTGGATCCACCTATGTTGGATATTTGATTATTAGTTAGAGAAGCACATTTATCTTTATAAATCCTGATTTCAGTCTTATCTTAAAACCAAATTCCAACTTATGGATTACTTTCAAAACATTACCAATATTTAAATAACAGTAAATCAGAATAATTCAAGAGTATTTATAATGATTTTTTATTGCCCTATGAGTTCAGATTTCAACATGAAATGCAAAGGAAAAATAACATGTTATCAAAAAAGTTAAGAACTGTGTCTTATGAGAGTAAACTGCTAAAAGTCTTGCATAAAATCATAATTTGTAAAGACTTAAAAGGAATAGGCGCCAGTAACTAAAGAAAAATTATTCGTTTTGAAAAAAGATATAATAAAAAGTGTTCAACCATTCATGAAGACTTTTTGATATAGGAACAAACCCAACATTAAAGAGCTTATACAATTTAAAAACTTATAAAAAAAAAGCAAAAATTTTTAATGAAGGCAAACGGACACGGCTGTTTCAAAGTGAGCTTTACGGCTTCTTGTTTTAAAAATAACCACTTAATAGGTGTTACTAAAACTTTAAAATTTTTTTAAATATTAGAGATAATTTTGTTCTGTAAAAAGAATATAAATACCAATAAAATGTTTTACTGTATGACATTAAATGAATGATTGAAAATTTTCTTCGATTTTAGATTTTAGAATTTGTTGTCACTTTATATCAAAAAAAAATTTAAAAAGTATATTTTGGATAATTATTATGAAATATACACATTGTAAGACCACTTTAACATAAAAAGGAATTTATTTAAACTTGATTCTCAACTGAAACAGGCAATATTTATGTCAGTAAAGCAAATCGCTACTTCTTTACTTGTAAAATATTAAAGGTCACGTGATTGTTTTAAAATGTAAACAAAAATATACGCATAAAAATAGACAAAATATTGTAAACAAGCCAAGTTTGAAGACATATTTGGTAACATAGCTAAAGGTATAAATAACAATTTTTAGATTTTCTTGAGCATAAAGGATTGAAAATTTGTTAATTTGGTGATCGTTACAAAAAAGTTATATTTTTCATATAAAAGTTATAAAAACAAAAATATAAATGCATTAAAAACTAACTTTTGCTAAAAAAATTATTTATGATCACCAAAAATCAGATAGAATAGACATTCATGGATAAATGTTCCAAATTTCAACCATCAACCATGTAGCTATGTTATCAAATCTTGGTTGGCCTAAGACAGATTTTTCATAAAAATCGCCAAAAACACAAAAGTGATCCCAAATCATTTAAAATATTTTAACAAAGTTTAATTTTATTTCGTCTAATGTAAATATTTATTAAATGAAGAAAGATAGTTCTTTTATATTTTTTAATTTGAAGATGAAAGCATTTATAGAAAAAAATTTTTTATAATTTTTATGCAAAAAAATATATATTTTTTAAAACACAAAAATTTTTGTGATGCCAGGCTCGCTTTTATATTGAGTGAAACAGCTATGTGGAAATGACCAAACTGTGATGATAAAATTGTTCAAACTAGATAAAAACAATATTAGCATACGATAAGTTTTCTTATATGAAAAAGAAAATTACTAATATATCTATTAAAATAAATAAAGTATGAATGAATTAATACAAGATTTCCATAACAAAACAGAAAATTATAATGGAATGTAACATATGCTCATCAAATTAAGTTATATAGAACTACTTCAAAATTTGCACATAGAGCCATATTTCTTTAGTCTTTATTTATTTAGTCTAGATGCTAATCAAAAAACTAATTTTTTATACTGGATTAATTAGGTCAGTAGTTTTTGAACTTGTAAAGAGTTAGGTTTAAGTATTCATATTTTAGTAAAAAAAATCTGCTTGCATACCCTATAGTGATGTGAATAAAATACTGACTAAACAGAGAGCTCACTGTCCACACTGATAATGATCAACATTTTCACAGGCTATTATTGTTATTTTCAATTTATATAATGCAACTAATATAAAATAAAGTAAATCATAAAACACGGTCATTAAAATTTGTGAGCTTTTTTTTATATAATGCAACTAATATAAAATGAAGTGATTCATAAAACACGGTCATTAAAATTTGTGAGCTTTTAGCTTATATCCCCCTCTCCATTATTATTAAAAACCATAAAAATTGGTCAATAATAGGAAATGGCGTATGATTTTTTATGTGTTATAAAGTTATGTGTTATTTTCTTTAACGAAAAAGATTTAACTAATACAAGTACATGAGAGAAGATGGAAAATTACATCCGTCAGAAAAAAAAAGAACATCAATCAGTTTGTTCTGAACCTGGAAATAAATACCAATTTTATTTTACTAACAATTCTGAAAAAAGAGTAGAAACTGCAGTTAAGCAAACAGCTGATAATCTTTACAAATGGATTATGGATCACGTTTCATACTATTTAGTTGCCATTGGTGCAGACTAAAAAAAATGTAACACTGCTTGGAAAGGTATTAACCACTACCTTGAATATAAATTGGATAAAAAAAATATATTGATAAAATGTGCTCTTCATACAAAGGAACTACCTCTCTAACACCTTATGATTCAGCTTGACGGAAAAACTACAACTGTTCTGGTTCTATTAGAAAAACTTATAGGTTAAGTTACTAGCTTCTAAGTCAAAGACGAGAAAATGAAATTTGAATTTCCTATGCAATGATAGAACTTGATTTTGAAGTTGTAAAATCTTTAAATGATCAAAAGCATCTTAATAAAATTACCCATGCAATTAATGCTGGAGTTTTTCCAGTTTTTCTCAAAGGAAATAAGCCCTCATTCGCATGCAAAATGGTTGAATTTCGCAAATAGAATATGTTTACACTAATGTAAAAATTGAAAAACATCAATATACATAATGAAAACGCTGATTCACTTTTTAATCTAATTAATTGGAGTTTGGATGTACATGAACCTTTACTTACATGTTTATTGTCAAAGGATGAACTTTAAAAATATGCCAATGTAAGTACCTTGTTTTCCTGTTCATAAGCAAGCTATTGAAACATGTGTCAAGAAGTAACAAAAGCTTCTCAATTAGTATTTAGAAAAGATATAAGAGATACATCAGAGCAATAGCACATCAAGAAATCATGATCGTAAACCAATCAAAAAAACATTTATTTGAATTAATTTAAGCATAATTTTTTTTAGTTGTTTTCATTTGCTTTAAGATATTACTTATTTCATAGTAAAATAAACATAATGTTAAACATATTGTATCTCTTAAATGACATTTTTTAGGACTAGTAAATTTGTAAGCCTTTAGAAAGTTAATTATTGTAGGAACTATATTATATAATATTATAGATAATTACTATATATAATTATTGTAGGAACTATATATAATTATTGTAAGAACTATATTATTTATAAAGCAAATAAGTTTTTTTTTTTCTTCTAATATCCTACAGCAAACATAGTATACTTCGATATAACCTTTTGTATGACCTAATGAAGAGTAACACCCAAAATGTTTTATTTTCGTGTATATATTGTCTTATTGTTTTTTGTGTATATATTGTCTTAATGTGTTTTTTTTTTAAAAAAGCTTATTCTCATAAGCTTTTTTAAAAAAAGACAGAATAGTGCCATTTTGATGAGTTTTTAGTAAAACTTAAATTTTCTAAATGCCCTGCGCCCTTACCAGATAAACTTTTTGAGGGAAAAAAAAATATTCACACCTTTTCTAATATCCTAATACATAAAAAAAAATTGTGCGCTCCAGAATTCAAAATTTGAAAATTATGGCCCACACGAGTGTGTATATATGTGAGTATATATATATGTACAAATAAATTATAAAAATATATATATATATAAATATATAATTTTAAGTGCTCGGTTCATAAGCAAGAAGTTCTGAGTTTGATCCCCACCATGTCCCTGGTAGTACCATTGACCTTGTTTGACAAGGTTTGTGTCTTGGAATTAAAGAGTTGTGAGAGGGTTGTAACCCTATCACAACTCTTTAATTAAAAAAATTGTAGCGGCACTATCAGCCTTGGGTAGGTAAATAACATTTAAAATAAGTAAAAAATTCACTAGTTAATTTAGTGTTAATTTAATGGCATCTTTGATGCTAAAAACCAACTATATATTTGATATAATTATAAACTATTAAATATACCATTGAAGGAGGCTTCCACAGCTTCAATTTGAACATCTGAGTAGTCACAAACAACAAACTTTGGATTCCAGCCTGGATTCCAATCCTTAATTGTCTGTAGCCCTTCTGAAAGCATAGCAACAGTATTTGTTTGTAAAATAAATTCAGCAACTAACTGATAATCAACATTTGTTTGCACATATATACAATATAAAGGAAAAGGTATTCTAGCATGTATGTCTTTAATTTGAGTAAGTATAATCTGAGAATTGTAGCGCTTTAAAAGTCGTTGTTGATGAGGAGTTTGGTGACAAAATAAAAGCTTAGCATTTTCATTTAATTCATTCTTTAAATCTTTTTCATCTGATATAAAGTCTTCTGAAGCCTCAACACTATCATCATTTTGAACAGTTGATTCAAGAGATGCATCATGTTTTACTTTAAAATTAAAAATCATTTTCTCATCGTTGTGTTTTTCTTTAAGAACTTCAGCTTGTGCTTCAAGCTTTTGTTCTACATCATGAGATATATTCAAAGAAGAACGAGCTTTTGACATAAAATATCGAATCTGCTTTTTAGTAGGAAAGTATTGACGCCTAGTCCTAGGTGGAGGTACTTGGTCTTTAAACATTTCTTTAACTACATACAGTTCTAGCAAACGCTTTACTTCATCAATTGGAATACTGGGATCATTCCAAACAAGTTTAGACACATGACTGCATAACTCAGGATGAAGTGCTTCTTTTACAACTGCTTCCTAATTAAAAAAAAGTGAAATTAGGTCAAATAATGCCAAATAGAGTAAATTTCTATGAGGTTCCTAATGAAGTCAAATTTTGATGCCACTTTTTGATTTAGTTTATACATACATACATGATTTAGATTTTTTGCCACTTTTTGATTTAGTTTATATATATATATATATATATATATATATATATATATATATATATATATATATATATATATATATATATATATATATATATATATATATATATATATATATATATATATATATATATATATATATATATATATATATATATACATGTATATATAGAGTCTTGCAGGGTAGTCAGAAAGTTTTCCCCATAAACTGTAGTTTTAAAGAGATCGTCAATAAACCAAACCAGAAAAAATTTAAAAACTTAGATAATTTTTTTTTCCTCAAATGATAGACTGCCTGCCCAAACCAAACCTTTAGTCGATATAGCAGCACTCCCTTGCGAGTCAGGCTATTTGTCAGTTGATGTAGTAGCACTCCATTGCGAGTCAGGCTATAAGATAGTCAATGTAGCAACATTCTGTTGCAAGTCAGACTATAAGATAGTCGATATAGCAACACTCTCTTGTAGCAGCAGGCTATATGATAGTTGATGTAGCAACACTCGGCCCATGTTTTAAAACATATATTTTAATAAAACAACAACAAAAACACCATTAATTAAAAAAAACTTTCTAGTCATTATTGTGGTTTTTTTTAAAAACAATGAAATTTAATGTACTTCTGCATTAATTTAATTGCTTTGACATTTCGACGACAATAAAATGTAGGCTAATTGTCTAGTTAGCAAAATTGTAGTTGAAAAGTCTCTATCAACTACGATATAAGGATATATATATATATATATATATATATATATATATATATATATATATATATTATATATATATATATATATATATATGTATATATATATATATATGTACATATATATATATATGTACATATATATATGTATATATATATATATATATGTATATATATATATATATATATGTACATATATATATATATATATATATATATATATATATATATATATATATATATATATATATATATATATATATATATATATATATATATATATATATATGTATATATATATATATATATGTACATATATATATATATATACATATTTGTCTGATAAATACTCAAGTTTGTCGGACATATCTAATAAAAATTAAAGAAGTGCAATCGAAGGCCATTCCTGACCACACAACTTGTTTTGACAATTCTAGGCATTTCAAAAATAAAGACAAGATAATAAAGATAAACTATCTAATAAAAGAAAATCTTAAAGAAAAAGAAAAAATCTAAGCTCAAAAATTAAAGTTTGAAAAGAAAAATATATTTATATTAGGATTTTTAAAAATTACTATACTATGCAAAATGCTTTTTAAATTATCAAATACATTATAACATAAATATAATAAATACATAAATTATGTAATTATTAAATACATAATTAAATATATAATAAAAATACAAAATTGCGTGTTTTCGGTTTTTTCTATAAGATCCTTAAAAAATAAATATATTTAGTCAAAATCTTGTTTTATATAACATTAGTAATTTTTATAGTTGTATTTCATAAAACTTCTGTCTTCTTAATATTAAGTATTTAGTTTAAATAGTATCTGTGCACTAGAGTTAATAAAATTAATAGAATTAAATTAATAACATTATCAGTTTTGATATTGATTTTAATGAGCAAATATATAATGTGCAATATAATATAATTTAATGTGCAATAATTTCTCTTCTTTAACATCATTAACTTTAAAGATTGAAGGTCTTATTTTATTTTCATATGAATTATTGCATGCAACATTTTCTCTTTTAACTGTACTTTGTTGAACTTTTGGTTCAAACTTTTCATTTATTTTTTTGTAGCTTTTTCTGCATTTAGAAGTCATTGAAACAAATGAATTATTTTTAGATAAATTTAAAGTTATCAATTGTGCATTAGCACTTTATTTTTTATCTGTTAAGCAATTAATCAAAAAATAGATAAAAACATGTTTTTGAAAATACATTTTTATAGGGTGGTTACATTTTTTTGAGTTGAAAAATTTAGGAGATTTTTAAGTACTTTTTTTGAGATTTTACCAACTTGAAAAACGTTTATTTTACTAACTTGGAAAAATGAATAAAAAAAAAAAGATTTTATTAGGAGGATTTTAAATTTTTTTTTAACAAAATTTAAATATTATTCAAAAAATTTAATAAAAATTTGAAAGTTCAAGTTGAATGTTCAAAGGAAAACTTAAAGTTCAAAAAAGAAGCATAAATTAGGAGAATTTAGGAGTATTTAAGTGTTAGAAATTCAAATATATTTTAGGAGAAATTAGGTCTTTTTAGGATGGTTTTCAAATATTAGGATATGTTATGATTTGTTAGGAAGTGTGGCCACCCTGTTTAGTAAAAACTTTGTTTTATGTAACATAATGTAATTGTTATGTTATGTAAAATAACATAGTGCTATAGTAGCATTTCATAAAACGATTTCTTTTTTTATCGAGTATTAAGTTTAAATTTTTTAAATATTTTATAAAAATTATTTTGATATTTTTAAAAATTCAACATCAAGTAAATTCAATTATATGGATGTTATCAAACTTCCTTTTTTAATTGAATAAAAGTGTGTGTGCACGAAAATTATTTTATTATTTAATTTTTTTACAGTTATTTTACAGTTAACATTGGCAGGTAATTTGAATGTTAGTTATTTGCAAGTTTCCATTTTAAAAATTCATTGATTTTACTTAAAACATATTTAATATATATATATATATATATATATATATATATATATATATATATATATATATATATATATATATATATATATATATATATATATATAGCTATAAAGGGCACGAAATAAGCTCCAGACATGGGACATTGTCTGGTAAAAAACGACTTCTATCGGTCAATTTGTCTGACCCATAATTTATGTGCATTTATTTTCTAATCATTTTAGTTGTTCCAAATTTATTAATAAATTCAGAATTGTATATAAACTTTATTTTTCATACAAAACAAAATTGAACACATGGTTATGCTAATAAAACACGTTATTTTTTTGGGTTAATTCATTTTTTAAAAGACACCAAAGTACTACATTTTTTTGAATAAAGCAGCCCAGTTTTTATCATTTATAATAAAACATTGCAATTTGTTATTAATTTAAATTTATAGTTTAGTATTTATTTTATTTTTTGTCCGGTAGTTTTAATAAACTTCACACAAATATTTTAGCTTTTAAAATCCCTTTTAAACTCATTTTATGAAAATTTTAACATAATAGCTATTTTAATGCTTTTATAAACCAGTACTATTTATTACACTATTAAATTTAAGTTGTTACATAACATATGTTTTTGTGATAAAAGTGCTATTAAAAGTGTTTATAAAATTAATCCTAGAAAAAGTTTTTAAAAAAATAAAAATTTATAAATGTAATTAGGCATAATATTCTTTCATAATTTAAATAAAATGGGTTTGTTGTAAACATAATTAACTTGTTACTTTATTTAATTAAGTAATTTATGTATTTAATAATTTTGATTTTTTATTATACATTTTTATTATACATTTTATTATGCATTTAATAATTACATAATTTATGTATTTGACATATTTAAGTAATAACTTAGTAATTTACAAAGCATTTCGCATAGCATAGTTTTTAAAAAACATAATACAAATATGTTTCTTGAGCTCAGATTTTTTCTTTTTCTTTCAGGTTTTCTTTTTATTAGATAATTTATCTTACAAATTGCATGGTCAAGTGGTAAAAACAAAATATTTTGTGTGTGGTCAGGAATGACATTTGATCACACTTCTTTAATTTTCATCGGACATGTCCAGTAAACAGAGTCTTTACTGGACAAACTGTCCAGTAAAAAAAGTTTGTTATTTCAAGCCCTGTATGTGTGTGTATATATATAAAACAATAAATCTGTGTTTATTAAATAAGCTATGTGAAGACACTTTAAAATAGCCTGCTGATGTACTGAATCCCATACATAGACTATCTAACATAGACATACATAGACTATCTTATAGTCTGTTGCCGCAAAGGAGTTCGCTACATGAACTGAGGGTTTGGCATGAGGCACTAATCTTTTTACCTTTATTTAAAAATACCAAATATAAGCAAATATGTTAATATACAAAAAAATTGTAATTCATTTTTATAGCTAATGTCTATGGAAACTGATGAAACATGTTGTATAAAAGGATATATTAACAAAAAATATGTATAAAATTTGGGTATGGAATTCTAGACTTTTAGATGTCTTTAAAATACAGAATTTCAAAGTTATATTTCTTAAGTATAGTGCTCTGCCAATCTTGAGCTGGTTTTTATTATTTGCATTGCAGTGTGGAAAACAATCAACAAGGCCCATAATAAACAAAAAAGATGGTCTCTAATAATATAAAATATACTAATAAATAAAGCGATAAGATTTAAAGATAAATATTCATATTTAAAAATATTTAAATGAAAAAAATTTGCTTTAACAAATTACTTAAATAACAATACTAATGGGGATAAATAAATGAACTAAATACAGAAAAGTTGAGTGCAAAGAAAAAATTTAAGAAAAAGTATTAGTATTAGTATTAACTAATGGGTTAGGACAACTGCAAGTTTCCATTTTGCATATTTCAATTTTTTTTTTAATTTATTATTTTTATTCAAAATGAAAAGTTTTTTTAAGATGTTTTGTATCTTTAATTCTTTTTGTTATCATTATATTAGTATTAAATGTTTTTGCAATGAAAAATCACAATGACAATTTCATTATGACATTTACAGAAACATTTATTTAGAAAAATCATAACATTTTTAAACATTTTTTAGATTATAATTTAAGGTTCCTTATTCTTCAGTTTAACATTTTAAAATACTGACATTATATGTATACTTATTAGATATTTATTTATTTACAACTATATTAACACACTATTATTAATAATTATTATATTAAACTATATGTTCTACTAATTTATTAATTATAACTTTTGAATCTAATCATTAGAAACCAAAAAAATTTTGAAGCAGGAACTTATTGCAAAAAATGCGATGTATAAACTTAATATATCAAAGATAATTTATGAGAAAATTAAATTTTTACACTGTTTTAAAATATTTTTAAAATAAGTAATCAATTTAAAAACAACATAAAACAAACCTCATTGATTTCATGATTGTGATCTTCTGACATTGATTTGACAATGAGCTGAGATCCATCATCAGATACACCAAACCGAATATGCATCTCACATCCTACCTTAAAAGAGCTACAAATAAGAAAATTACATTGCAAATCATTTGAACTTAACAGTTGTAGACATTAAAGTTTAAAGTCATAAATTGAAGTTTAATAATCAAATTAATAAAATTCAATTTATATCAAAAATTAAACATAAAAGTTTATACTTTATATATATATATATATATATATATATATATATATATATATATATATATATATATATATATATATATATATATATATATATATATATATATATATATATATATATATATATATATATATATATATATATATATATATATATATATATATACACACACATATATATATATATATATATATATACATATATATTTATATATATACACACACATATATATATATATATATATATATATATATATATATATATATATATATATATATATATATATATATATATATATATATATTTAAATAAGGCTCCATATTAACATTTGTTAAGCACTCTTAATAGTATTTTAACATTGTGCGGAAATAAAATGGAAAAAAAAAAAATAAACTAACAATTTCACTGATTAAAAATATCTATTCTAGATGAAAAAAGTTTTTAAAAAAAAATTTTCAATCAAAAAAAAAGTTTATTATTTTTTTGATTGAAAACGTTGAACATTTTATAAGAATTTATAAAAAAAGCACATTTTTATAAAAAATAAATGCAGAAACTGTAATTAATAATAACCAAGATAATAAAAATTATAGATTAAAAACAAAAACTACCCCACCTTTAATACCTGATTCAAAAAATTGTAAAAATGACCTATGCTTGTAGAAATCTGACATACATTTCTTGTTGTATTTGTTTTTATATTTTGTTGTTTATTTCTATTGTGATTTTATTTACAGAAACTTGTTTAAGATTGTTTAAGATATTATGATCGGGAGCAACAAACTTTTGCTTATGTTAGTTTCTTATAAACACAATAAAACATGTTGTTAATATGTTAGTTTCTTATAAACACAATAAAACCTGTTGTTAATATGTTTTTTTCGTCAAATGTTAGTCTCTTATGCATTCTATAGAATTTTAATGAGACACTGGTATAAAAAAGATAAAAACATCTTGACAGTGGTTGAAATTGTAATTCACTTAAGTTACTTTGTGTGAATTTGTTAATGTATGCACAAAAAGGTAGAATTTTGCTAACCTTTTTCTTTTCTACAATATTTCCACAACAAGCTTACTTTATCAGGCTCTAGGATCCAATGTCATCAATGAAGGTCCCAGTAAAGCAATTGCAATTGCACTACTCAACAGCCACCAACTTCACCATCCTCCAAACTCAATTGACATTCATTTAGCCTTCTCAAAGCACAAGGCACCAAAAATGGGCCATCCCCACATCGGTCAGGATATTTCAGAAGAAGAGTGGGAAAACTTTATTAGTGGCTGGAGATTGTTTAAGAGATGTAGAAACATCGTTCAAGAGATGACAGCACAGCTGTTTTAGTGCTGTGAAGACGACCTTGGAAATCAACTCCTGAAAGAAAATCCTAGGATATAATTATACCAATGCTATCATATGAGATATTGTTGTTGAAGGGCTGTCAGACATTGACATCTATAAAAATGTGCTTGGAAGGGTCTCTCTTGACACAGCCTTAATCACAGATATCATTGTTTTTATAGAGGGTAAGGAAATGGCACAAAATGCACTAGGCTGTAGATTATCAATAACAAGTGTATCAACTTTCACATGATATTAAAGGGACCAACATTACAACCTAATGTCCAGATTGCTGAAAATCTTACAGTTTATTTACATAATCATCTAGAGCATGGAACACAAACTCTTCAATGCTTCCTCGAAAATGTGGGACCAAATGGTGATCTCAATAATAATGCTTTTGTGAGTGCAATGCTCACAATAAGAAACAAACCAGTCCCTACTTATCAGTTCTCCCCTGCTCAAGTATTTTTTGGCCATCCTATTCCTGATGTTATATTCAGGATAAAAACCAGAATACCTATGTTTGATAAAGAGCAATTCTTGAAAACATGGAGACATGCATGGTCTGTGAAAGAAGTATTAAGAACAAGATATAGAAAGACCTTTGAATTACTTCAAGAACATAGCAATGCCACCCTTATTGAATACCTAAGATGTAGGAAATCAACCATTGAAACATTCAACAAGGTTACGTATCTGAAGAAATTCTCTACCACTACACCAACACCACATTACATTTACAGTGTGCTTTTAGACTGAAAGTAAGAAGGTTGTTATTTATAAATATAGGAATACCAACATTATTGCAATATTTTTTTGCAGTAAATAAATGAACTTTGTTGTCTAACAAAAATTGCAGATTTTAAGTCCTGAATTTAAATCCATAAGCCACAGCAAGCCTTAAGCTGTTACAGAAGAGAGATCTAATTAAAAATCAACTGCATGTTCTAAGCAATCAAAAAGTTAAGATTATTTGTCAAGACAAGAGTATAAAGTTGAATCATCAACAAACAGACCTACTTTAGATGTTATATTTTCATGAAGATTGATATTGTAAATAAGAAACAATACAGGAGCAAAGATTTAAGATTTATTTCAAGTAACTTTAAGGGTACCACAAGATACCTTGTGGCTAGGGCTGTACAGAACTTCGGCTCCGGCTCCTGCTTTGGCCAAAATCTGACTATTTTTACAAATCCGGCTTAGGCAAAATGTTAGCAAATCCGGCATAATTTTGGTTGCATTTCTGAATTTTGGTCAGATATTTATTACATCTTTCTTGCCCGTGATAACATGTATACTTAATATTTTATTTTTACAAATCAATGTTTTTAGTAATTCTATAGTCTATGAACTTCATGTTTGTTTTGGTATCTGTACTTACATTTCTTTACAACTTAATTAGCTAAGCCTAATTTCAAACAACAACACAACAAAAATTCTGAAGGGAAGACACACAATATTCTGCAATAATGCAGGTTTAAAGACTATGAAGTCAATCCTAATCAAGTCATTGGATGAGCGTATTAAAGGAATTGAGGAGAAACCTTTTTATATAGTGGTGACACTGGTTAATTCATAATTTCAAACTAAACTCTTCTCATTACAGGCAACACTGACAGGTGAAAAAGCAAGATTGAAGTCAATCTGAGCATGCTGAGCAGCAGATTGACAAAACTAAAGAAAATCTAGCAAAACAAGCCTGGCTGGATAAATCTTATACATTATCATCATTAAAATGGCAATATATATAGATGAAATTATTCAGTCTACGCCCGCTTGCGGCACAGCACATGAACAACAATTACCAACAGGCATTAACACTCAGCTAAGCCAATATCTGGAAGAATCAGAAATATATTGACATGCTGATTCACTGTATTGGCGGAGTGACAACTTCCCGGAAAAAAAGTTCTATAGAACTTCTCTGAATTTTTGAAACATATGGCCTATAGAAACTCTATAGAATTTATATATGTCTATTAATTTTTAAAAAATTGCTATAAAACTTTTTAACAACAAAAATGAAGTTTAATAGAAAACAACTGTCACTTGGTATTATGAATAGTCAACATTGTTGACCATTTTCAGCACCAAGTAGAGATGTACAGGATTTTGGCTCCTGTAGTTTTGTTTCGAAATCTGGCTCCGGCTGGATCTGTTAGTAGAAATCCGGCAAATCCGGCTGGATTTAGAAAAATTAAATCTGGTACAGCCTTACTTGTGGCACCTTTAAAGTTACTTGAAATAAAGAAAAGTACAGGACTTCAAGAATAACTTTATTACTGCAGTTAGTAAGAAATAAATTAATCAAAACCTTTACATAAAGAAACTAATAACAGAGTGAAGACTAATCATAAGATAGTTGGTGAGGTCAAAGACTCTAGAACCTAACACTTGATATAAGATACAAGATTTAGTAAACTGAGAATAACATAGCTTAACATCAGACGGGACCTTTTTAAACTGGCTTCTTGGAATAATAAAAAGACATTTGTTCTTAAAAGAGATGTTTTTGTAAAAAAAGATGAAATAAATTATTAATAAAGCTCAAGATGGTGAAAAAAATATGGAGTAGAATAAGGTTTGACTTAAGAGTAGGAATAAAAGCTTCCAAACTTTTAGTCCAGAAGGAATAAAAGTTTCTAAGATGCGTTTTATGCATACATATTATGGATATAAACATTTATGTTTGCTATTTATTTAGATGCTGGCATACAATATCCTTTCATTTTTATTTAAACTTTAGCATTTATATGGTGTAGTATTTGTCGAAAGAGATGAGGATGATGACGGTAATGATAATTATGATGATCATGTTGATCATAATTATGTTTATCTACGCTTTATATACAAAATATAACTTGAACTTTAAATAAAAAAATTATTCTTTATGAGATATAAATGTTTATGCAGCCCTGGTCACAAACCCGGTTCCGAGTATATTTTATCAAACTGGCCCCGGTCAAATATCAATTTCAGTTGTTTACTACCTTAAGGAGGTGAATTAACAATTAATGGTTTTTACTCCTCAATAAATACAGATATTTAAGATAAAACAATTGAATTGTTTTATCAATTGTTAAAAAAAGGACAAAAATCCACAGTTTTTCCAGAAGAGTCAAATTGTGTAATAAAGCATTGCAGAAAAAACTATACATAAGGACTACATAAGGAAACTATATAAGGAAATATAGAAAAGACATGGAAAAAGAAAACCATTTTCGTATGAGTGGTCAAAAAACCACTACACCTCCTCCATTCCCTAAAGCGTGATGTAATTTATGGACAACCTCTAAGCTTTTCAAAAAACCCAACTTAAATTAACCACTCCAAATTCTAAAACAAATCCCAATTTTTATTACTAACAAGCAAACCAAAACTCCTCTGATGAATATGTATTCAATTCCTCTAAATATGTTAACAAAGATGGCCCTAAAAAAAGTGGATTTAAAAATTTTTAACTAAAATTTGGCCCAGAAAAAAAGAAAGTAAGAAAGAAAAACAGAACTAGAAACATAATTTCAATGTT